TCCGTGACTGTTCTTGAATGGCCCAGCCAGAGCCCTGATTTAAACCCAATTGAGCATCTCTGGAGAGACCTGAAAATGGCTGTCCACCCACGTTTACCATCCAACCTGACAGAACTGGAGAGGATCTGCAAGGAGGAATGGCAGAGGATCCCCAAATGCAGGTGTGAAAAACTTGTTGCATCATTCCCAAAAAGACTCATGGCTGTATTAGCTCAAAAGGGTGCTTCTACTAAATACTGAGCAAAGGGTCTGAATACTTATGACCATGTGTTATTTCAGTTTTTCTTTTTTAATAAATCTGCAAAAATGTCAATTCTGTGTTTTTCTGTCAATATGGGGTGCTGTGTGTACATTAATGAGGAAAAAAATGAACTTAAATGATTTTAGCATATGGCTGCAATATAACAAAAAGTGAAAAATTTAAGGGGGTCTGAATACTTTCCGTACCCACTGTAAATGTTTAATCTTTTCTTTTGCCAAAGTTTATTTTTTCAATTTTTACATGCCATTGTTAACAGTAGTGCTTTAGATGGGTTAAATCTGCTTCAGTTCTACTAAAGTAGTTATTTTAGTCTCAGAATAATCACTGGCAAAATGTCCTCACTTAAATTTCTTAGAGAATTTTTGCTGTGTGAATACTACAGCTTAACATGACATGCATTTACGCTGGTTTAAACTAGTTAGTTACAAAATATTTTCCTCTAGGAATGATGAAATGAACTCTCTCCAAAGATTCAAAATGATCTCCTTTAGAATTTATGCACAGCATGGGCATGCTCGAAACAAGAGCCCCAAGGAAAAAAAATCTGAAAAATAAAAAGTGGTCAGTTCTACTCTACCACACAGTCTAATTAAGCCTAACTAATACATTGTCCCAGTGAAAAAGCGCATGTTAACAGTGAAGACAGAACAAGGTTTATGTACCGTCTGCTATTAAGCACAAAAGTGATGAAATTCCAGAGATGTGCGTACAGTTACAGTCACAATATTTCATGGTCAAATACAGCCAGTAACATGGAGATTTACATTGGAAGGCTGTTTCCTCGACTTGATTGTAAATCCCCGCCTGTTAAACTCCCTCTCTCTTCAACCCCCCCATCCCCCCACCCCCCATTTCCTGCCCACTCCATTCATAGGCTTTATAGCTGCAGATATTAAAGGAACTGGATCTTGGACCCAACTCTACCTAATAACAGACTACCATGAAAATGGCTCTTTGTATGACTACCTCAAATCAACCACTCTAGACAACAAAGCCATGCTGCGACTGGCCTACTCCTCCGTATCTGGACTCTGCCACCTCCACACAGAGATCTTTGGCACCCAGGGCAAACCTGCCATAGCTCACAGGGACCTGAAGAGCAAGAACATACTGGTGAAAAGAAATGGGACTTGCTGTATAGCTGACCTGGGACTGTCGGTCAAGTTTATCAGGTGAGTGGGTCAGCGACATCCAGTGATATTTGGCACAATTTGAAGAAACATTCCACTTTAACTTTTCTTTCAAATCATCCATGATTCGCTGATTTTAAACTCTTATGTAAAATAATCACTTTCATCTCCTACTCTGCAGTGACACCAATGAAGTTGACATCCCTCCCAACACTAGAGTTGGTACCAAACGTTACATGCCTCCAGAGGTTCTGGACGAGACGCTGAACAGAAATCATTTTCAGTCGTATATCATGGCCGACATGTACAGCTTTGGGCTCATTCTCTGGGAGATTGCACGGCGTTGTATATCAGGAGGTAAATATAGTAAATATACTTTTTATGGAACTTTTTTGACACTAAAAACCAGACTTCCACTAAAAAAAAAAACACACACAACTAAATCTGTACTTTTTGATGGCTATGCAGTATGGAGTTTAAGCACATTGTCTAGTTTTTGGGATGTAGTTAGAATTTATCAAACAACACGCCAACACAGTGTATTTCTTCTTTGTTGTAGGGATCCTTGAAGAGTACCAGTTACCTTACCATGAGTTAGTTCCTACAGACCCCTCATATGAAGACATGAGAGAGGTGGTCTGCATCAAGAGACTGCGACCATCTTTTCCTAATCGATGGACCAGTGACGAGGTAAACCATTTTACAGTACACATACACGCACAAACAAACACAAATTAATGACCTTCGTAACATAAATCTGTATCTCCTCAGTGTTTGAGACAAATGGGAAAGCTGATGACAGAATGCTGGGCCCATAACCCAGCCTCCCGGCTTACAGCCCTACGGGTCAAAAAGACACTTGCCAAGATGTCAGAATCACAAGATATCAAGCTGTGAGCAGGCACTGCCAGGTGTGTGCATACACACATAAAAAGGGCTCTAGTCCAGGCCACACGAGCCTTTTTTTTCTGGGAAAACAAGACGGGACAGGAAGCATGAGGCTCAGTTTGGAGAATAGATGATTATGAACATTGTGTCCAGATGCCCAGAACTCTCCAAATCAAGTCCCCTTTGAACAAATGACTACAGGACTACAGTGGTTTACTGAAACTTAAACAAATTTTTTATTTTTATTTTTTAAATCAGGTCTTGTGTGGCCTTGTTCTGTCTATTGGAGATGAGAATTTCATTTCAGACTGGTGTGAGAATTCTAAAACCACATAGCTGTAAGTTCCTGGTCACATGCTGAAAAGGCCTTGGACAGAGAGAGTTTGATTTGGCACTGTACTGTATCTGCAGAGTTATGCAGATAGGCTACTGACCAGTGAGTGGAATACTATATCACTGCTTTCTGTGAAAGCTACCCTACCTGTAGATGAAGGTCTGACCGATAGAATGGAAGGGATGTGTTTGAAGGCAATCTGTTTTTGCAGCATGACACCTCCTTTCAAAACACTGTCACCCCACTCCTGGCTTTATATTGTAATTGGTTTGAACACATTAAATAGACTTTTGGTTACATAAACTGATACTATGTAACAAAGTATTTTGAGGCTTTAAAGGTTTTGTTTATGCTGGTAACATTTGTAGACACTGATGGAAAGGTATACCTGTATTTTTGAGTTGTTATGGGCTATGAAAGTGTATTTTCCATGTAAAACTCAAACTCTTTAAGTCTATATGTGAAAAATAAAGTTTATGTCCAAATAAATTCTGGATTGAGGTGCTAAAAGCCTCGGTTTCCTTCTGGTTTCCATGAGTGAGGAGATGAAGCATTACATTAATGAAGTGATTGAGGCAGAATGGTGCCATCTCTAGGAGCTCCACAGCCGTTACAGGAAGGGAAGTTTGCTTGATGATGTAGTTGTCTATTATTTCGTTTATATGCTGTGAGGAGCTGCTGCACCTGTTGCATCCTGCTGGTGAGTAAATGGTTTAAAAACCATTACAAAGAATCGCACTGCATTAAAAATACAGTGCTTCTATCAGGTAAGTTTTTACAGTAATTAAAATTCTCACGTAACAGTCGTGTTAGAAAGGTTAACCGGGCTTTCTCAATTTTATCTTTTGTAGTTCATTTGTAAATTATTTGGTAAGCTCTCCTACAGAGGTCAGTGAGTTCTTTTTTTTTTTTTTTTGGTCTCCATCAACCATAAAATAATTGGAGGTTTGAGTGTGACAGATGTTTTGTGATATAAATGCCCTATTTGGCCGCGTGGATTTTTGTGCCTTATTAAATCTGTAAATACTGTGGGTGAGGGAAAGTAGTGCAGTAAAACGGTTTGTCCAAATAAAGTGCAAAACTCAACCGCAGGCTGATGCACCGTTTGAGATTTGTCATGCATACTAATGAGTAAATTGGCTGCGCCTCTTACTGTTAAGCCATACTCTTATTTTTTTTGTAAAAAAAAAAAAAAAACTGTAATAGCTCATTACAACCCACCAGTGCTGCTGAGCAAACAGCATGTTAAACAGTGACACCATAAGGATATTATGTTTCAATTTCCTCCCCTTCAGGCTATTTTATACAACCACCTATTGCAAAGTACTACCCACCATATGTATTTACGGTCTCTGGCCACTTTATTAGGTACTTCTGTACAATTCTATGTAATTCAGTGCAACACTTCCACATTAACATTTGTGCTTATGTTCAGTTTTTGGTATAAATTCAATTCTATGTTTATTAAGGTCAAAGGTAAAGGTGCTATTGTACTGGACTACATTATATTTAGGGGTGTCTATATTCTTGTCCTCCCCAGCTACATAATGAGAGGGTCAGAGTTTTAGGAACGTCTCTGAATATAATGTAGTCCAATACAACAAGACCTTTAACTACGACCTCAATAATAAACTTGTAATTGAATTTATATATTTATGACAATTGCATTAAAAATTTAAATATTTTGAGATTGATAAACACGGATGATAAGACAGAAGTTTAGCATTGAATTGCATACAATTGTACAGGTGTACCTAATACAGTGGCAGATGAGTGTGTATTCATGGTATACACTCACCATTACAATACAAAATGTGGCAAATGTTAAGCGTAAAACCATTCCCCAAAACAGTTCTGTTGAAATAAGCCACCGAAAGCACCTCATTTTCAGTGTTGCTTATAAATATAATTTATTGTCTTAAAAATTCTTTCTTACACTTTGTACAGAAAACAATTAGAGGAGATAAAGAGGTGAGCATTCAGCAAGATTCATGAAGCGTGCCAGAATTAGCTAAAATGGAAACACTAGCCCACACAAATCAAATCACTTATAATAGTAAAATAAAAATGCACTTACAAGAACATCTCTAGTTATAGACTTCTATCATGACAACCAATGCTAAGTTTGCATAGTAGACACTGCTTTTACAAAAAAGGAAAGAAACATACAAACTAGTATCTAATGGTACTGCTCTTTTTATCATCAGAAATTTGCCAAATATAGCTGACAGTACACAACTGTACATACTGTGGATATAAAATATTTTTACATACTTTGATATATTAACAGTACTTTCATTAGTTTCACATCATGAAGGATCACCACCCTCTTCTTCATATGAAAACAGTTTTCCAGTCTACTACACTAACAGGTTACCCTGCTGGTAATTTGTAGACTTAGAATATGGCAAGGATCAAATTTAGAGTGAAGTTACACTGTTACAATTTGTAACTTGCACTTAACAGATTTTCTTGAACATTTTTCACTTGTTAGAATTATAACCTCGTATGACTGTGAATTCTGCCTTTAGGTGAATTAATGATCATAATATATGAAAGCGACATTGTAGTTGATGTGTTTTGTTCTGAACAAACTGAACTGACATAAAATTGACATGAATCTTCCCTTTGATTTCCTCACATTTGACATCAGCAGTTACATTTGAAAACATACAAAACATCCACTCTGACATTTAACCATACACCATTGCTGATTTGGTTCGTAAGGTGGCCTGAAACCAAAGCTTACATGCTTTCTGCAACTGGTTTTAACCGATGCAAGAGGTCAGATCTTTGCACCTTTCTGATCAACAAAAAAAAAAAAAAAGAAAAATCTATTTTTCAAGGTTTCCTCCTGTGTGTGCAGCCACAAGATGAAATCTGTCATGACAAGGTACAGATGTGACGTTTTGTACCGGTGGTAACTTAGCCTCTGCTGTCACTGTTTTCTTTACACTATCCTCCTCAGTATCTCCTCTACATACCTGATGTTTAGTTTCATATGGCATCTCTCCATAGTTCAGAGCAGAAATCCCGTATATTTGAATATTTTACGTGCATTTCCTTTGACCTCCATGTCCATGTTGTCCTTCACTAGAGTATATGTCCCCAGGGCATCTGACAACTATTCAACACCCACTAAAAATAAGGCTGTTTTTCTTTCCTCAAAGCTTTCATATTGTTGAAAAGAGCCAATGCACACATTTGAAAGCCGCCTGGGTTTACAATGTAAAAACAAATATATTACACTTATTTTTACATAAGTGTCTTTAGTTATCTTGATTTTTAGCTTCAAATTGCAACTTTTTCAACAAATACACCATGAGTTGGAATGTTAATTGTAAAAAAAAAAAAAGAGGAAAAAGCCTCCCCCCATACAGTTCACACCTGTAAAAAAATATTAATACCAAAAAATAATCATGTAAATGACACTATAATCAGTGTTTCCCCTACCATTATATTAGGGGGGGTGCCCTGCCCCCCCTTGAGGGTCAAGTTAATTTTATTCAATTTTACTTTCTATATAGTGCCAGATCACAACAGAAGTCATTTAAGGTTCCCTTTCCTATAGAAAAGGTCTATACCTTGTTCTTTTATTAAACAAACTAAGTAGCCTTATGTTATTTATCTTATTTTTCACGACGGCATGCCATTTCTGTCTCTACATGGCCGCACGTTTACAATTCTCCTCTGCTCTCTGTATTGGGCATGGTGGAGTTCATGCCCCGATGCACACATATACAGGTGATCACACACCCACCACCGGACAGAAAACACTTGCCGGAAAATATGTATGTATAAAAATATGATGCCTTCCATCAACCCTCTTTTCCTTGCTAAGCTGCGTTAACCAATAATACACAAAAGTGTACCTACGCAGCCGCTGGTTAGCTTGGTGGGTAACCCCACTGACTTTGATACGGCAGGTTGGGGTTCGATTCTCTGTCAGGGCACAGCATCAGCGTGGGCCCTTAGGCAAGGCCCTTAATGCTATATGCATAGTGAGGTACTACACAAATGGTACGGCAAGGAGGAGTCAGGACGCCAGGAAATGTGATCGCTTATTTTTATTATTTTTTACATTCTTTTCACTCTAATGAAAAGAATGTAAAAACATGAGAACACATTATTTAGAGGACCTTAGTAAGTTAGTATTAGTAAGTCATCTATCTTTTAAGCTGGGGATCCTCCCTCCCTCTGTGTGCCTCCTTTCTTCATCACGCCTTTCTCCTGTATGTCAGGAGGCACTTCACTTTCCTCACTACTTCACTACTAGTGTTCATCACACCTTTTCCCTGTATATCAACTTGCTTGGTTTCAGGAGGTACTCCACCTTTTCCCTA